CCCAGCCTTCTGCCCTGCACCTCCACACACCCCACAGCCCTCTGCCCTCACCTCCCCCCAACACCCAGCCTTCTGCCCTGCACCTCCACACACCCTCTGCCCTGACCTCCCCCCAACACCCAGCCTTCTGCCCTGCACCTCCACACACACCCCAGCCTTCTGCCCTGCACCTCCCCCCAACACCCAGCCTTCTGTGCTTCACCTCCACACACATCCCAGCCCTCTGCCCTGATCTCCCCCCAACACCCAGCCTTCTGCCCTGCACCTCCACACACACACCCCAGACTTATAGAGAGAGACCTGAAAAACGTTAACATGTATTACCGGCACGCGAAACCTTAAATTAAAGTGAATAAATGAAGACTCGGCACACCACTTCTGAAAGGTTGCCTACCCCTGGTTTAAAGAGGTTTATAGATTCTTTGGGTACCAGATGTTCCAGGCATTTACTGAGCACAACATACAGTCTTGAAAGCTATTGATGTAGACCAGTGTTGGGTTCAAGCAGTTATTCCATAGAGCATAAAATCGCTAAAATGTCTTATTACATTTACTTATAATCATCATTAATTTCTTTGGTATTTCTATTACATTTATCATGCTTCAAAGTATTTCTCCAAGGAGTAAAATTACACTTCTTCTTAAGTCACTCTTATGAGTGTGGTCCCTCCTACTTCTAGTTTGTTTTAAAATGGACAAATTTAAAGCATCAAAAGCAATTACCTAAAAGTTTTTCTTAAAGATTCCTCTTAGGACACTTTCCTTGGACTTATCAAGGAGAAACAAGCATACAGCATTGTGATGGGTTCCCCCTGTGGTGCCACTTGGAACTGGGGTACCACTAAGCCCCCTGATCCACCAGCCTGGGCTCCCCCTCACACTATACTGCTGTGACAAGCTGCAGAGCCCTCCAGCCTGCACTTTCACCAGCATACATACAGGTAGGGACACACCCAGCTGCAGTTGCATGCAGGCTCTCTGACCAGCCCCTGCATAGGAAGGCTACAGCTAAGGCAACTCCCAGCTCCTCAGACACGCACCACCTCTGGAGTATAAATCTAAAATTCCTCTTCGAGTCATTGCTCGTGTCAATTCCAAGTAGATGCATGCACGCTGCATGCACAGTCGGAAGGTTTTCCCCTAGTGGTACCCGTCGGGTTGGCTGTGGAGCCCCCTGAATATCACCTTCATGGCGGTGTATATAGGTCCCTGCCAACCCGCTGCCTCTTCAATTCCCTCTTACCACCAGTGATGGTCATTGGAGTGTCTCTCTTTCTCTCTCTCTCGCCTCGGGCAAGCAATTCTCTAGCATTTTCTTTCTTTGTTTTGTAAATAGTTTTATTAGCATAGTATTGTTAGTTTTAGTGGTTAGTTAGTTAATAATTAAGGGGCTTTGTTGGGGGCTGCTCCCCCACCACGCTCTAACCTTCGGGGACTGGGGCATGCCTTGATCTCAAGGCCTCAAACCCTGTGCATCCTGTCAGAAGCCTATGCCCAGGGAAGATTCTCATGATTCCTGCTTAAAGTGCTTGGGGGAGGCCCATCAGACTGATAAGTGTAAAATCTGCAGGCGCTTTCGCCCAAGAACAAAAATGGAGAGAGACTTCAGACTTAAGCTTCTCCTTATGAAGTCGGCTCTTCGTCCCCAGCCGGCACAGCCCGTGTTGGCATCAAAACCCAGCACTTCGGTGCGGAGCACACTGTCCTCAGTACGAAAGGCCGTGGCGCTGGCAAAGGACCCGACACCCAGAGACTCGTAGCACTGCCACTCTCTGGCACCGAAGATGAGTTCGGCAGCCTCTTGGCATGGGTCACACTTGCTGGTGCCGCATAAGAAGCAAAGAAGAGCTGGGAGTGGGCGTTTGCCAACAGTCTCATAGACTCATAGACTTTAAGGTCAGAAGGGACCATTATGATCATCTAGTCTGACCTCCCACATGATGCAGGCCACAAAAGCTGACCCACCCACTCTTGGAATAATTCTTTCCCTTGACTCAGCTGTTGAAGTCCCCAAATCATGATTTAAAGACTTCAAGTCGCAGAGAATCCTCCAGCAAGCGACCCCTGCCCCATGCTGCGGAGGAAGGCGAAAAACCTCCAGGGCCTCTGCCAATCTACCCTGGAGGAAAATTCCTTCCCGACCCCAAATATGGTGATCAGCTGAACCCCGAGCATGCGAGCAAGATTCTCCAGTCAGAGTAGTAGAGCGCGATGGTGCTCGCGGAGTGCGTCCCGTGCCGGGATACTCAGCTCCTGCTCAGGCGAAACCAGCACCATTGACTCTAACCACTCAGGCGGAACCGTCGAGTCTGGTCCCATTGGACTCCCTGGCGTGGGAGAGCCAAATGAGGACGTTGGACCTGCCATCTATCTTGGACAGATTTGAGGCTGCAAGGGGCCTCATAGAGTTGATGGCCCAGCAGTCAGCGGCACTAGCACCGAACAAAGGGCCAGTTCTCTCCAAGGGCAAACCAGCCATGAGTCTGCAACAGTCCCCCTCACTTGGGCACCACTCCCCTGCACCGTCCTGCATGGCGCCCCTGTGGTCCTCACGGTCGGACTCAACCTCAGAGCCAGAGTCAGACATCTCCGGGCAGAGCTGGCACCATTCTCGTCATTCCCAGTGAGAGGAGGCACACCAGGTCCCTACGATGCCCTGGCATCCTCAATGGCAGGTTCCGACGTAATGACCTTTCTGGACCCCCTGGGTGGGCCATCAAGCCCCGGGTCCGAGCTCCAGGTTCCTGTCCATAGCCTCGGACAGGTGGGGGCCCCCTATCTTCCTCGATGGTGAGGGAACCTCCAAAAGGATAGGAGCCCGGCACCGAGGTGGTGTCGGTACTGTGCCTGCCACCATGCAGGTGACATCACTGAGGGAGGAACCCTGAGAATTGGAGGGTCAGGAGAAACCTATGCCCATGGGGGCTTCTTCATCTTCCTCCCAAGACAAGGCAGTAGTGGCCTCATCTGCCTCTTTGCCAGCCATGGACAGTAGGGCCCATCAAGAGCTGCTTAGAAGAGTAGCTCAAAACCTAGGTCTTCAGGCAGAGGAGATGTCAGAAGACATAGATTGCATGGGAGATATTCTGACACCAAAAGGGCCATTAAGGGTGGCCTTGCCGTTGATCAAGACCATTCATAATACCATGAAGACCCTGTGGCAACCCCCCGTCTCCATTTCTCTCATGGCAGAGTGGATGGAAAGGAAATACTTTGTACCCTCCAAGGGGTACAAATACCTTTTCACCCACCCTCAACCAGGTACGCTTGTCGTGGATGCAGACAAATGCCAAGGAAAGGCAAGGGCAGCAAGGTCCTACGCCAAAATCCAAAGAGGCAAGGAAGTTGGACTTTTTAGGCTGTAAGATCTATTCCACGGGGGACCTCCAGCTTCGAATTGCTAATCAGTAAATGGTGCTCAGCCGCTACAATTTTAATTCTTGGAACTCTGTCCAAGTTTAAAGAGCTCCTCCGAACAAACTCCTGATGTGACGTAGGAACTGTTCTCTAGGAGGATAAGGCAATTGCAAGGCTGCATTGGATGCGGCGCACTCGGCCACCCGCACAATGTCCACTTCCATTGTTATGCGCCGAAGCTCGTGGCTGCAGGTCTCGGGCCTCCTACCAGAGGTATCTCAGGCCATCCGAGACTTGCCCTTTGACGGCTCGGGTCTGTTTGCAGAACAGACAGATTCTAGGCTTCATAGCCTAAAAGACTCTAGGGCAACCATAAAATCCCTGGCCCTCCACACACCAGCCCCGAAGAGGAAGCATTTTAAGCTTCAGCCCCCCACCTCGCTTCTACCATTCTCAGCAGGGACAGGACTATAGCAGAAGTAATAGGTGAAAGCCCCCACAGTCCTCCTCGAACCAGGGCCAGGGCTCGATGAGGCAGTCTCCAGCTTCCAAAAAAACTTTTTTTAAGGTTCGCCCGGGAGCGACGCGCCAGTCCACATCCCGGATCCTTCCCCACCTTTTGTGAACCGTCTATCCCATTTCTACCGTGCTTGGGCCCATAGGCACCGACTTCCACTGTTCCTGGTGCGTGCTCGACCCCTGCCCCTGGCCCCGCCCCTACACCACCCTCGCCCTACCCCCAAGTCCCTGCCTCTTCTCCACCTCCTTCTCTGAGTGCGCTGCATCCCCGCTCCTCCCTGCTCCCTCCTGGAAAGTCCTAAGCGCCGCCAAACAGCTGTTTGGTGGCAGGAAGCGCTGGGAGGTAGGCGGAGGAGTGGGGATGCAGTGTGTTCGGGGGGGGGGGGGGAGTTGAGGTGAGGCTGGGGGTGACGGGAGCTTGGCTGCTGGTGGGTGCAGCGCACCAACTAATTTTTCCTCATGGGTGCTCCAGCCCTGAAGCACCCACGGAGTTGGCGCCTATGCTTGGGCTCAAATAACCTGAGACCGGAGAGTCCTGAGAACGGTAGAATTGGTATATTTTCTCCAATTCTGTTCCCTTCCACCTTCCCCCCAACTCTCCTCATCCCTCTTCAGGGATCCTTCTCACAAACAATTTCTAGTGCAGGAGGTGCAAGCACTCGTACATTTCAGGGCAGTAGAGGAGATCCCTCTAGAGTTCGGGGACAAGGGTTTCTACTCCCCGTTATTTCCTAATCCCCCGGGCTAAGGGTGGGCTCAGGCCTATTTTAGACCTGCGAAACCTCCACAAATTCATGAAGAAGTTGAAGTTCCACTTGGTCTCCCTGGCCTCCATCATTCCCTCTCTGGATCCAAGGGACTGGTATGCCGCCCTCGACATGTATTTTCACGTCTCCATACTTTCATCCCACAGAAGATTTCTTCAATTTGTTGTAAACCATCTCCACTATCAGTTCAAGGTCCTCCGCTTCAGCCTTTCGGCGGCCCCTCAGGTGTTCACCAAGTGCATGGCGGTCGTGGTGACCTACCTACGGAAGCAGCAGGTGCAGGTATTTCCCTACCTGGACGACTGGCTAATCAAGGGCCAATCTCAAGCCCAAGTGGAGGACCATGTGAGCCTGGTGCATATGAGGTTCCTCAGGCTTGGCCTCATTCTGAACGTGGCAAAGTCAACTGTAACCCCCACTAAGAGGATAGAGTTTATCGGAGCCCTGCTAGACTTCACCCAGGCCAGGGATTTCCTTCCTTCCGTCCTGGCCGTGAGTGCCATCATAAAAGATCTCAGCAGATTCCCCACCACAACGGTGCAGAATTGCCTAAAATTAGTCAGACACATGGCTGCTTGCACATATGTGGTACAGCATGCCAGACTGCGACTTCGTCCCCTTTAGGCTTGGCTGGCCCGAGTTTACAGACTGAACCAAGATCACCTAGACAGACTGATCACTCTTACCCCTCAGGTTCTTGAGTCCCTTCGGTAGTGGCTCAACGCACAAACAGTATGTGCAGGAATACCCTTCTCCAAACCTCAGCCAACGCTGTCATTAGTCACAGATGTGTCAGCGATGGGATGGGGAGCGCACTTAAGCGATCTCAGGACTCAGGTTCTTTGGTCCCAGGCAGAACTTTCACTGCATATCAACATAAAGGAGCTGCGCACAGTGTGCCTTGCTTGCCAGACTTTTCAAACCCATCTTTAGGGCAGATGTGTATCAGTACTGACAAACAGCACCACAGCGATATTCTATATAAGCAGACAGGGTGGGGTGCTTGCTCCTCAGGAAGCCCTCAAGTTGTGGGAATTTTGCATCGCCCACTTGATACAATTGGAGGCCTCGTACCTTCCAGGTTCGCAGAACGAACTGGCCGACTGCCTCAGCAGGTCCTTTCACGGCCACAAGTGGTCTCTTCACCCGGATGTCACCATCAGCATTTTCCAAAGGTGGGGCTCTCCACAGATAGACCTGTTCACGACACGGCACAACAGGAAGCGTCAGCAGTTTTGTTCCTTCCTGAATCGCAGCCAGGGCTTGCTCGCGGGCACCTATTGTATGCATTCCCACTCATCCACAAAGTCCTCCTCAAGGTCCGACAAGACAAAACTTCATTTAATCTTGATAGCACCAGCGTGGCCATGTCAGCTCTGGTTCACCATACACTGGACATGTCCATGGATACGCCTATAATCCTGCCCCTGGTTCCGGACTTGATCACCCAGTACCACGGCTGCCTCCAGCACCCAAACCTGGAGTCTCTCCACCTCACGGCATGGAAACTCCATGGCTAAACCCGTTGGAGCTTGCATGCTCAGACTCGGTTAGGGAGGTTCTCCTTGGCAGCAGAAAGCCTTCCACTCGCACCGCTTACCTGGCTAAGTGGAAGAGGTTTTCAGTTTGGTCGCTTCAGAAGGGCACTCCTCCATTGCAGGCCTCGATTTCCTGCATCCTGGACTATTTACTCCAGTTAAAACAGCAGGGGTTGGCAGCATCATCAATAAAGGTTCACCTCGCTGCGATTTTGGCTTTCCACCCCAGCTCAGCAGGCCGCTCAGTGTTTGCTAAACCTATGGTTGGCCGTTTTCTCAAGGGTCTAGACAGACTGTACCCTCAAGTAAGACAGCCGATTCCCCCATGGGATCTCAATTTGGTGCTCTCTAGGCTGATGGGCTCTCCCTTCGAGCCCTTGGCAACTTGCTCTCTCTCCTTTACCTATCTTGGAAGGTAGCGTTCCAAGTGGCTATAACATCGGACAGAAGAGTGTCTGAGCTCAAGGCTCTGACATCCAAACCCCCTTATACAAGGTACAGTTACGACCACAACCGGCTTTCCTCCCAAAGGTAGTTTCACAATTTCATGCGAATCAGGACATCTTTCTGCCGGTGTTTTGCCTCAAGCCGCATGCTAATGACAGGGAACACATGCTCCATTCCCTGGATGTTAGACACGCTAGCATTTTACATTGAGCGATCAAAGCCATTTAGAAGGTCAACACAGCTCTTCGTTGCCATTGCCCAGAGGATGAAAGGTCTTCTTGTCTCATACCATAGAATCTCTTCTTGGATCATGGCCTGTATCAGGACGTGCTATTGTAACGCCAACAGAACCCGGTCGTTGGCAGGGGGATCGAACCTGGGACCCCTGGAGCTTAGTGCATGAGCCTCTACCACATGAGCTAAAAGCCAACTGGCTGTTAGCTAAGGCTGTAGAGCAAACTCATTAATCTCTCTCTGTCTAAGTAGTCTTGGTGCCACTAGATGGGACACCACCACATGCAGGAGGTGTATGGGTTACACTATGACCTGGCAAAAATACCAGCTCCAACATTGACAGTGCACTCCACAGGAGCGCAAGCTTCCTCTGCAGCGTTCCTGGCACAGGTTCCCATTCAGGATATCTGCAGGGCAGCGACATGGTCTTCGCACTATGCCATCATTCAGCAGGCTAGAGATGATTCCACATTTGGTAGAGCAGTGGTTCAGTCTGCAAATCTGTGAACTCTGACCCCTCCTCCAGGGGACTGTGTGGGAGTCACCTACTTGGAATTGACATGAGCAATCACTTGAAGAAAAATGGTTACCTACCTTTCATAACTGTTGTTCTTTGAGATGTGTTGTTCGTGTCCATTCCAAGACCCACCCACCGCCCATCTCTCGGAGTATCCGGCAAGAAGGAACTGAAGAGATGGCAGGTCAGCAGTCACCTATCTACACCGCCATGAAGGCGCCACTCCAGGGGGCTCCACAGCCGACCTGACGGGTACCACTAGGGGCAAACCTTCAACAACTGTGCATGCGGTGCGCACACACCTACTTGTAATGGACATGATCAACACATCTCGAAGAACGACAGTTACAAAAGGTAGGTAACTGTTTTTTATACCGTCTTGTGCTGCACAGGGAAATGTACAGCGTAAGCTCATAAAATTTACCCCCTCCCTCAATGTGGATAGGAATATGAAACAGCCTTTGCCCCTGGGTTATGATTCCCACACACTTCATTCCAACTCACTGGTTTAGATAAAGCAAAAACAAGTTTATTAACTACAGAAGATAGATATAAAGTGATTATAAGTGATAGCAAACAGATCAAAGAAGATTAACTTTGCAAATAAACAAAAAATGCAAATTAAGCTTAACATACTAAATAAATTGGATATGAATAGCAGATTCTCACCCTGAGAGATGATACAAGCAGGCTACAGATTCTTAAGGAGCAAGCTGCACTTGCTTTGCAGCTTGGAATCCCCAGGTGTTTCTTTCACAAGCTAAAAATCCCTTTAGCCTGGGTCCAGCACTTCCGCCAGTTCAGTCTTTGTTCCTCAGGTGAAGAACACCAGATGATGTCACTCCCTGCCTTATTTAGCTTTTGCATATGGTGGGAACCCTTTGTTCCCACACCAGTCTGTGGGAAAATACTGACATCCCAAAATGGAGTCTAGAGACATGGTCTCATCACATGTCCTTGTAGAGTCATAGCAGACATTACTCTGAGTCTGTCTGTAGCATTCTCAGGAAAGCTCCCCAGGTGGGAGATAAGCTTCTCCTAAGGCCTATTGTTTATTTCTTAATTGCCCATTGCCCTGAATAGGCTCTTCCACACCCACTACCTAGACTGAAAGCATAGTGGGCATTACCCCGGTGTAATTACATTTGAAATACAGATATAGTCAATATTCATAACTTCAGATACAAAAATGATACATGCATATAAATAAGATAATGACATTCAGCTACTCATAACTTTTCCAATGACACCTCACATGACTTATCTTGCATAAAATACATTATAATTATGTCATAATCATATCATAATAATATCACTGCAAAAAATATGGGGTGCAGTGTCACAAACATTACTTAGTTAAAATCCTAAAATTTAGTTCTTTGAGGTCTCACTAGAAAGAGTGCATACTTAGCAAGATAACATTTCGTTACTTATATTAAAGACAAAGATAAATCAACCTCTGAAATCTCTCTCTTTCTTCTAAGTCTTGGTAACCATGGAGGCAGGGAGAAGCTGTCCACATGGCAAGTACAAGTGTCTGGTAGCACGTCTGGAGTTCGACAGCTTCTTTGATGAGTTCAGCAAAATCTGAGGTTCCACTTGGTGACCTCCAGTTTTATACCTTCTTTTCAGGGATTATTGGAGGTTGGCAGCTTTTTTATTTCTACTGGACACTTGTTAACCAGCTTTCTGATTTCTAGTCCCCAGTTTTCCTGCTACTTCCATAGATATCCAGTAGGTAGTTTTGATATATAACAAATTTTTTGGTTCTTTTCTTTGTCAGAGGTTTTTTACATTTTATTCATTTCAAAGATTGTATTTTGTATTGAGCACCCTATTAATTAGAATTCCCCTTTTAAGAATTTTTTAATATTTTAAGACTATACACGGCTTAGGTGTTTATGCTTCCTTATGCCATATAATTCATAAAATTTCTACAATGCAACAATAATTTAGAAAGAAAACAGTTCTTTATAATTCCACAGAATTTGGTGAACATAGTCATACGTTCTTTGATTATACTGTGACGGGTTGGATCACAGAACCCCCCTTGGGAGCTGCCACCCGATGTGCCAAGACTACTTCTACCCCTGCCTTCCCTGCCAGTTCGGGGCCCCAGCATCCCTGTCTTGTTGAGCCAGACACTCCCGTCTGCTCCAACAAAGACCCAGGGTCTGAATTACTTGCCCCAAAGCTGCAGGTTTACCTGAAAGCAACTAACAGAAGTGTGCTTGTTTCTAACACTCAGATGTCCAACTCCCAATGGGGTCTAAACCCAAATAAATCCATTTTACCCTGTATAAAGCTTATGCAGGGTAAACTCATAAATTGTTCGCCCTCCATAACACTGATAGAGAGAGATGCACGGCTGTTTGCTCCCCCAGGGATTAATACATACTCTGAGTAAATTAATAAGTAAAAAGTGGTTTTATTAAATACAAATAGTAGGATTTAAGTGGTTCCAAGTAGTAACAGACAGAACAAAGTAAGTCACCAAGCAAAATAAAATAAAACGCGCAAATCTATGTCTAATCAAACTGAATACAGATAAGATCCTCACCAGTTCCAGAATGCTCCCTTTTACAGACTATTCTCCTTTTCCTGGGGTGCAGCGATCACTCACACGCTTTGCACACTGTCCTTTGTTCCAGTTTCTTTCAAGTATCCTGGGGGGTGGAGAGGCTCTCTCTTTAGCCAGCTGAAGACAAAATGGAGGGGTCTCCCACGGGCTTAAATAGACTTTCTTTTTGTGGGTGGAGACCCCCTCCCCTCTCCTATGCAAAGTCCAGCTCCAAGATGGAGTTTAGGAGTCACCTGGGAAAGTCACATGTCCATGCATGACTCATAGTTTCTTACCAGGTAGCAGCCATGGGTCACATGCTACCTTGAAGGTCCTCAACTAGACTTCTTATGTGGATTGGAGCATTCCAAGATTCATTGTCCTTTAAGTGTCTCTTGATTAGGTACTTAACTTCAACATTTCTTTCTCCAGGAACTGACCAAATGCTCTACTACGGTTATTTAGAAATCAAATCAGTACACAGCCAATATTCATAACTTCGAATACAAAAATGATATATGCATCCAAATAGGATTAATAGATTCAGTAGATCATAACCTTTGAGATATGTTGCATGGCATATGTAGTATAAAACACCTTCTAAGCATATTTCCATAAAGCCTTATGGGAGGTGCCATCACATATACCTAATATCTTTCATTTCACATTCTTCAAAGCTTACAATAAAATAAGAAATATTGAAGGACCTAGACAAATTATCCACATATAGAAAGATGGTATAGCTGATTGATAAGGCAGACACAGTACAGTTTTTAATTTGGAGTGAAAACGCGTGTTGGACTTTTGTGGGGTATAAGGAATTTTGGCCCATGTAACCTTCAGTTTCTTTGGTTCAGACAGCAAGAGGGAGGGATAGCTCAGTGGTTTGAGCATTGGCCTGCTAAACCCAGGGTTGTGAGCTCAATCCTTGAGGGGACCACTTAGGTATCTGGGGCAAAATCAGTACTTGGTCCTTTTAGTGAAGGCAGGGGGCTGGACTCGATGACCTTTCAAGGTCCCTTCCAGTTCTTGGAGATAGGATATCTCCATTAATTTATTTTTTATTTATTTAAGTTATTTCTACCTTGCATAAATTCTATAGTTTTCATACTCCTTTGTGACTTGGTTAACTCTCAGAACATTATGGGTTTGTCTGCATAGGAAAACATCCTCTTTTTCTATATATTCTATATCCTTGTTTAATCTTCTGGGTGGACTTTTTTTAGCCATGCAAAGGCTCTATCCATATATAAATGTATAAAATGGTCTCTGTATTAATCCATTGGACAAGCGTAGTTAAAATATATTGTTTAAACATTCCAGATCAGTTCCCTGGAAAATTCTGATTCAAACTTCACTTATCTCAGTTCCACGGTCAAGATGAAGTGTGGATTGCTGGTTTCCTATTATTTTTGGTTAGATTGAGATAGACATTACTTAGGGGTAAACAAAGGTACATACTGTAACCTTGGTTGTGTCCTTGATAGGGGAATAGATTGGTAGATTTTTCTGATTTAAGGCCAGAAGGAATTATAGTTAACACACTCAAGGGCATATTTGAAATCTGTACATCTCACAGGAGGCAGTGTTCCCTCTAGTTTGATCTAATGCCAAAGCCCCCCTCCCATTGTATCTTATGAGAAAAACTACAAGAAGAGATCTTTGCACTGTTGAGTATTGGTACCATAGAAGGTGGTGCCAGAACTTTACTGAAGGAAAAGGTGTTTTCTGGTATTCACTTATTCCCAAATAGAATGGTGTCCTGTGCACTCTGAAAATGAAACAAATACTTTGTGAAGATAAAGTTCCAGATGATTGCTCTGGGAAGTATTATCACTACTCTAAACCAGGAGGACTAGTTTGGGGCCTTAGATCTTCAAGATGCTTATGTCTACATTTCAATAAGAGAAGACACAGAATATGTCTCAGTGTACTTTCAGTCACTACCAGTATAAGATGCACTGCCCTCTGAGTATTCAATGATCCCAAGAGTATTCACCAAGTGCTTGGTGGTGGTAGTAGTTTAACATCATGATTGAGGCCTGCAGGTGTTATCTATATCTGGACAATTGGCTCATAAAATCAAATCATTTCAGAAGTTAAGGTTTTTTCTAACTACCAGCCCTGAGATTCAGTATGGAATCTTAAACTGGGATTTGACATATTTACATATTATGAAACAAATAAATAGGTCCCTCCAAATTGGCAGCCCATTGTGCATAGGCATTCGGTGCGATGGATGTTGTAAAGATTTAGTAAAAAAAACCTGCCCCAAAAAGCTTAGTCTCAAGTACAAGAATTCCAAGCAGTCCTGTCTCCCCCAACATAGTGAGCTCACAGGTCCCATTTGTCCCCCTTGTGCACTAGGTCCAATCGTGCTCAGGATCAGTTTGCCCAGTACAGAGCAGAATACTGAAGCCAATAAAAACTACAGCTTCCCTTACACTTATATACTGTTGTCAGGGTTCCCCCCACACACACACTCTGAACTCTGGGGTACAGATGTGGGGACCTGCATGAAAGACCCCCTAATCTTATATTCTACCAGTTTAGGTTAAAACATCCCCAAGGCACAAATTCCTTTCCTTGTCCTTGGACGGTATTTTGCTGCCACCATCAAGTGGTTTACACAAAAATTCAGGGAAGGATCACTCGGAATCCCTGTCCCCCCAAAATATCCCCCCAAACCCTTTCACCCCCTTTCCTGGGGAGGCTTGAGAATAATATACCAACCAGTTGCCTTAACAATGTGACCAGACCCTTTGTCTTCAGGACACTGAAATCAATCAGGTTCTTAAAAGAAGAACTTTATTGATAAAGAAAAAAGTAAAAGAATCACACCTGCAAAATCAGAATGGAAGGTAACTTTACATGGTGATACAAAAATTTAAAACACAGAAGATTCCCCTCTGGGCTCAGCTTCACAATTATGAAAACAGGAATGAAACTATCTCTGTAGCATAGGGAAATTCACAAGACAAAACAAAAGATAACCTAATGCATCTCCTTGCCCTACTCACAGTTTCTGTGGTTTTAGATGGATTATTCCAGTATATTTTCAGGAGATATTGTACCTGCTTGGCTTCTCTCTCCATCCGGAGAGGGAACAACACACACAACAAAAACAAATCCTTCTCCCCCAGATTTGAAAGTATCTTCTTTTCTCATTGGTCCTTCTGGGCAGGTGCCAACTAGGTTATTTGAACTGCTTAATCTTTTACAGGTAAGGCAACCCAGTACAGCTGCCAAGCATACATAAAGGTTGCTACCCTTCCCCCTATATTCATGACAACTGTATTTACATTGGGGTCTGGCCACCATATTATTTTTCCTGAAATATTTTAAATTAGAAATTATTAAGTAGTAATATATTCCAAAACATGAGCCAATAAAAGATATTACCTCACCCACCTTGTCTCTCTAATATCGTGGGACTGACACAGCTGCAACAACACTTCATACAGTATTAGTCTTTTGTTTCATACCTCAAAGGAACACAAGATCTTCAGTTAAATACCATATTAGAACTTTCTCTGTATATTGTGATAATGCTTATTTTGATTGATTGTTAATATTTCAGTTATTAATCTTATCCAATTTTCTTTAACTATTTAGAATGGAAACCCTCAAAATCCCTATTGCAATGGAATTGATGGTGTAATGGAGGCATATTATAGAAGTTTAAAATCTGTACAGCTTTATGGACCAACAAACTTTGCTCCAGTAATTAATCATGTCGCAAGGTAAGTATTCCAACAGTTGCTTTGGAGAAACCGAATACATTGACATCATATTACCAATATAATTATTCCATTGAAAAGACAAACAGTAGTAGGACATTAATGTTGAAAAATCAAGCATTCAATTGTCAGGAAATAGAGTTAAGGTTGAAAGTTAAATCTTAATTTTCTGCCTTCATGTGCAATCATTAGCATGTGATCTTTCCATATATAATTATATATTGTTTCTCAAATAATTAAATTATTCAAATAGTAATTTCTTTTATAACATTCTGTACAGTAAACATAGGGATCCTCGGTCTCTTTTCAGTTAAACTTGTTTCACTGAAGAGGGAATTTGGCCTCACTTTTTCACTAGGAGGGTGGTGAAGCACTGGAATTAGTTACCTAGGGAGGTGGTGGAATCTCCTTCCTTAGAGGTTTTTACGGTCAGGCTTGACAACTCCCTGGTTGGAATGATTTAGCTGGGGATTGGTCCTGCTTTCAGCAGGGGGTTGGACTAGATGACCTCCTGAGGTCCCTTCCAAACCTGATATTCTATGATTCAATGATTCATTCTGTACTATTGTGTAATAAAGACAGGTCCTGGTCCCTCTCCCAGACCATTTGTTCTACTTCAGAAGCACAGAGGACCTGGAAAGTTGCCTTAGTTTGGCCCTTGAGGAGTCTCTGGTGCCCTAGAGGCCAGCTTAGTGGGGTGCAGTTGAGAAGAGATGTGACTGGCGTGTGTTGCGCTTTGGTAATACCTGGCCAGTGAAGGGCTCTTTGGTGGCCATTACAAGCCAGCATAATTTAGAACCAATCTCAGGCTGATCCAGATTTATACTGAGGGCATGGTGTATGCAAAGGTGGCTTAAACCCATCTTTGCTCTTCTCCTCTCCTCCTTGGTAGCAAGTAGATAATCTTGTGCAGCTGAGGATCTGGCATCTGATCTGATAAAATGACATTTTAGGAGATTAAATATTTTAATTGTATTAAATGTTTATTTTTCATTTGTCTCATTTTGCTGTTTTAGCACCTTCACCTATTTTGAGGAAAAACAAAGTATGTTACAATTAGTTGTCTGAAAAATGGAAAAACATTTCACAAAAAAAATTCAATTTTTTGTAGTTTGTTTTACGAGGTCTTAAGTGGAAGAATTTAAGGTTTTACCAAACTTTTTTTTTTTTATTTTGAATTTTAAAATGTTCATTTCCTCTCTTCCTCCTCTTCACCCCCCCTTCTTCTTTTTTCCCTTTTTGCCACAGAATACAATAATATGAATAACTTTCAGGGGGGTTGGGTGGGTTGGTTAGTTGAACTTTGCTACTTTTCCTTTTGCTTCTCCAACTTTTCCGAAGTTGAGTAGATTTGAGAAGTTAGAGGGGGCAAAAGGAAAAATTAAATTAAAAAGAGAGAAATGGAAAAAATCTAGACAAGCACACTATGTCATTCGGTGACCGAAAGGAAAAAAGGCACAGAAAGAGAAAAAAACAAAATGTTGAAAATTTTATATTTTGAAAATTTCTTGTTCAGTGAAAATCCAGAAAACTTAGAGAAAAATTAGAAAAATGGAATAAATATATTCAAAAGAGAAGTGAGAAGGTGCTTGGAATCTTTCTGAACTATTGTCTCTCATCTGTATGTTAGGAACAATTTTTCCATTATGAAGAGAGATATTTTATAACTTCCGACTTCACCAAACTAAGTTATATAGTAGAGAATACTTGGTCCCTTTCCTCCAAAACATAAGATAGATATGAGAAATATACCAGTTAAGAGTTCTACTGAGTTGATACATGCTTTAATCCCCAGTGTGGCTGATTGGCACCTTACTCAAATGGACTCTCAGATCTGTTTGTCTTTCTGCTGATTGGGGAAGGGATGATGTAGTGTTGTAACATTGTCATCAGAAGTACTCCTGCATTTCTGAAGAGAATTTCTGTGAAAAAAACTAAAACGAAAAGTAAGGATGATGGCCAAAAAGTGGAGTCATTAGTGCAGGACAGGTTTGTGCTTCCTGTAGCCAGGGAAGGTCTCTGTTGCAGAGCTGTAACAAAGCATTTTAGCACCTGTGGTGATCAATCATATTTGCGCTCCCTAGAGGTGCCACATGGGGGACATGCAGGATCACATCCCCCCCCCTCCCAGAATTCTGCCTCCCATTTAGCACAGCGGTTTTCAAACTGTAGGGCGCACCTTCCATGTGAAATGCACCCCACAGTTTGAAAACCGTTGCCTTCTGCCAGGGGCCAGCAGATCCGAAGCTGGTGGAAGCCACCCAGTCTGCTCAGGCCCCTGGCTCTTCGTGCTGTGGAAGCCGAAGTGCTGGCTGGCTGCCCGGCAGCCCTCCCTGCCCTGTTTCCCAAGTCAGGCCACCTCTGCGCAGCTGGGCGCTTTCCAGGCAGAGTGGTGGCACTGCTCCGAGCTCCTGAAACCTTCTTGTCTCTGCCCGAAGGAGCTTGGTGCCGGCCAGCAACACCCCCTGCAACCAGCCCCTGTCCATGAAGCCTGGCTGCCATAAGATGCTCCCCAAGGTGCTCCCTGGAGTACTCATTCCCCTTGGGCACCTGCTCACAGCAGCCCAGTCACACCCCACTTGCTGCCCAGGGGCGTTCCATTGCAGCCAGGTCACACTCACCACACACCCTACACACAGTGGAACTGCCCCTTGCTCCCCTTGGCTGCTGGGCTTGCAGTCACACAGCCTGAGCTCAGCCATGTGAGCCTGGTGCCCAGCCCAGGAACTGGGGGCAGGCAGCTGCTGGCAGGTGAATTCGCTCCTGCCAGCTCCAGAAACCAAGGCCTTGAGAACAGAGCAACCCCTAGGGTTACCATATTTCAAATTTCCAAATAAAGCACACTAACCGGGGGGGGGGGATTCTGAAGGGGTGTCTGTGTGCTGGGAGGGACATTTGGGGGGTATTTGGAGGGTACTGGAGGGGGTAACTGTGACGGGGCTGATGCTGCTGAGCCCAATCCTGTGCTGCCCCATTTTTGCGCCCATGCCAGCTCTGCGCCCTGAGCAGCTGCCCTTCTCGCCCCTCCCTAGTTGTGGCCCTGTTCTGTTGGAAAGGACACCATACGACACAGCAGTGCCTGGAACTTCCCCTCACCATTCCCTCAGAGGTTAAGGGATTGAGATGGGAATTCTAGACAGCCCAGAAGACTAGCTGGCAGAGAAGATAAGCAGAGGACACTCAGCAGCAGCCACATATTCCTGATCCCTCTTCCTCTTATTGGTCCTGTCCAAGATCCTCAGTAGGACTATTTCTGTAAATATTCATTCTCCTTTTCACCATGATATCACTCAGATTAACCTTGAAGTTCATGGTAGAATAGAGAGAAGAAGGTGTTTTTTGCCTGCACCCAGAATCTCAAGTTCAGAATGACTCTGTGGAGGACAAATCATGCAGTTTTGGGATCATGATTAGCCATACAAAAGACAGTAATATACAAGATATAGATAATCTATCTCCAATCAGTAATATTAGGAGTTCATCCAAAAGCTTTAGCACCAGTAATCTTACAGGATGAGTAACTTCGTATTACAGTAGACTTCATCCTTCACCAATATTTGTTCTTCTTCGAGTGCTTGCTCATGTCCATTCCAGTGTAGGTGTGCATGTGCTGCATGTACCACTGCCAGAAAGTTTTTCCCTCAGTGGTATCCGTCAGATTGTCTCTGGTGTCCCCTGGAGTCACGCCCTCCTGGCACCGTATATAGGGATCTGCCAAGCTGCCACCCTTTCAGTTCCTTCTTTCCACATGTCATGGTTGCTGGAGCTTCTTCTCGTTCTTGCTGTTGCAAGTACTCTCCCCGATAGACTTTGTTTTTCCTGCATATAGTTGAAAAATTAGTAGTTAATTGCTACAGTTAGTATTAGTTAGTAGTAATAAAGTAGGACCCCCTCTTAACGGGATTCTCCCTTGTCCCTGTCACAGGGGCATGCCTCAGTCTAAGGGCTTCATGCCATGTGAGGCTTGCTACAAGCCTATGCCCATTAGCGACCCCGACTCAGCTTGCCTCAAGTGCCTTGGGGAATCTCACCTGTGTGACCGCTGCAGAGTTTGTAAAGGGTTCAAACTCTGTAGCCAGAAAGAAAGAGACCAAAGGGTGCCATTGGACTCTCCTCTGAGAGAGAGCCGTAGGCGCACAGGACTGGCACTTCCATCTATACCAGAGGCGTTCCAGGCAGCACAGGACCTGATTTCCCTACTGTACCACTATCCGACACCAGGCATGAACCAGCGCTGGAGGTGAGAGCAGCTAAGGCACTGAGATCCCAGGTGCCGTCGAAGGGGAAACCAGCAATTGATGCCGCAGCACCAGTCACCCCCCTTTTGGCACCACTCGCTGGTACCGTCTGGCACCGCTTCCCCATGGTCATCGGGGAGTGAATCCTCACCCTCAGATTCAGAGCCGGAATCCTGCAGCTCCCACAGGAGCCGGCACCGGTCTGACCAACACTACTTGATGGCGGATATGGGCCAGGGGGTTTCCACCAATTGCCTGGCTGGCACAGACACCGATGCCTGTGCAATGACTATTTTGGACTCCTTTGGCTTTTCATAAGACCCAAGAATCTCAGTCAAGGAGGTCATACTCTGTTGCATCGGAGGGTAGAGGCTCACCATCTCCTCCTGTGGTACAGGAACAGGGCCCAGGTACTGAGCCCGGTACCATACCTCCGGGACAGGCACCATGGGGTCTGCTAGGTGCTGATGGACAGGAGCAAGGCCTGGTACCGGTCCTAGCATCCTCTTCCTCCTCCTCAGATAAGGTGGTAGTGGGAACCTCCATTGCACTCACACAGGATGACCACAGGATGCACCAAGATCTACTAAGGAGGCTAGCCCAAAACCTGGGGATCCAGGTGGAGGAGATTGCAGTGACCTCCCGTGCCCTAGTGGACATCTTGACTCCTTCGGTCCCCTCACGGGTAGGTTTGCCTATGGATAGTGCCATCCTAGAGCCTGTTAAGGCACGGTGTCAAACTCCAGCCTCCTTTCAACCCATGGC